AAAAAGATGCAATTCCTCGCATTTCTGACCAGTTCCTGCAGCCCAATAACTGTCTCGGGTAGCGGGCCACGATCCTCTGGCCCGTCTACCATTTTCAGGCTTTTTTCTCGAAAAGGAAAGCCCACCAGTGTCGGGCCTTTCTCTTTGGGGCCACACGACGGCTTTGTTCCGCTCCGCCACCGTCCTGCCTGCGCTGCGCTCCACCGCATCGCACGAAAAGCACCGACCTTTTTTTCAGCCGAGACACGATGATCCACCGCCATTAGCAGCGGCGGGGGAAGTGGCGACCGATCTTCCGTGGCCAGCGCGCGCGCGCTCGCTCTCGCCGGATCGGGCCGGGAAAATGGCGCGCGCGGTCTCCCTGTCGGCGCTCTGTCTCCTCCTCGCCGCCGCCGCCGCCGGAGGTGAGGAGCTCCTCTTCCCCCCACTCCGCCCTCCCGGAAGTCGCCCGTGTAGATCAGATTAGGATCCGCGGTCGCTGGTGCGGCGGAGGCCTGCCTGACGTTGCGAGGCGGCTCCCATGCTGTCAGTGCCAACTGCTGGTGAACTGTCAATCTAGGGTAATTCTGGTCAGATTAAGATCCGCGGTGGCGGGTGTGGCGGGCGTCTGATGTTGCCAGTGCCAGTGTCGCAACTGCTCTTGAACCCGTCAACCTAGGGTAATTGGGATTAGAACTTACAACTGTAGGTGTGGTGGCCAGCCCTTTTGTTCTTGAGGAGTAAGCACGATCTTGATATGGAATCTGTGGATAGATTCAGTGCGTATTTAGATTTAACTGCGAAGTACACTGTGGAGTTGATGTGCCATGGTAGTCGATACGCTGATATGCAGTGATTGAGGCGCCTGATCCAGTTTGGCCACTCAGATGTTCGAATTAGGATGACCGTGACCTAGCTACCTGGCATACTTGAGCAAGTTTACTGACCGACCCACATTGCAATTTACTCTTCTGTTTGCTCTGGAAACTATATCCTTGGCTCATTCTGATGCAAGTGCTTCTGTTTTGTGCAGCTCGAGTGGACCCGATTTATTCTGGCAAACTGGTTAGCACAATATCACCCTGCCTCGTTACTGTTTTTCCTCGGTGTTATGGAGGTATATGTGCTTATGCTGATCTGTTCCTGCGATGGTAGGTGCTGGACTGGAGCAAGGAACCCAAGTTTAAACTGCAGAATTTCTCCCTGAATCGAGAGGGTTAGTAGTAATGATGAAAAAGATTGTATTGCATACTACTGTGTCTTCTCAGAGCAGCAGCACATTTAATAAAGGGGCTTTTATTTATTAATGCAGACAATCTTCAGCTCCTAAGCAGGTCACGAGATGTCACTCGCAGGGTAACATTTTTTTATCTTCGTTGCCAAACCCTTGTGATTTTTTAGATGAACAAACACCCTTGCAATTTAAGTAGGATAATTATTGCTGTGCTTATATTTTATGATTTTCAGATGTGGTTAATCACATAGCTTCTTCTTTGCACGGCATCTAATTTTGAAATGAAATCTTATACCTGTTCCCTCTGTTCATGTCTTATATTTCCTTGTATAGAAATTGGGGGAGAGGACCGGTGTAATAAAGATGGAAACAGTACAGCAGGATGATGAAGCCCTAGTTAAACTTGAGAATGCAGGTTTTGAGCGTTCGAAAGCAGTTGATTCTGCTGTGCTGGGAAAATATAGTCTATGGAGACGCGAAAATGAAAACGAGAAGGCGGATGCAAATGTTCGTCTGATGCGGGACCAAATGATCATGGCCAGAATATATTCCGTGCTCGCCAAATCCAGGGACAAGCTCGATCTTTATCGGGAGCTACTCGCCAGGATCAAGGAAAGCCAGCGCTCCCTTGGGGAAGCTACTGCTGATGCTGATCTCCCTAAGAGGTATTTACTTTTTAGGCTCGAACTGTACTTTTAGCCAAATTTTCCTGCACTACTCATTTCTTTTTCCTTTGATTTGAAGTGCTTCTGAGAGAGCAAAAGCAATGGGTCAAGTTTTATCAAAAGCAAGGGATCAATTGTATGATTGCAAGGAAATTACCCACCGTTTAAGATCGATGCTTCAGTCAGCTGATGAGCAGGTCCGGAGCTTAAAGAAGCAGAGCACCTTCCTCAGTCAGTTGGCAGCTAAGACAATACCGAATGGCATACATTGCTTGTCCATGCGCTTAACAATAGACTATTACCTTCTCTCTCCAGAGAAAAGAAAGTTCCCTAATAGCGAGAATTTGGAAGATCCTGACCTTTATCACTATGCTCTTTTTTCGGACAATGTTCTGGCAGCATCAGTTGTGGTTAACTCAACCATCGTGAACGCAAAGGTTTGTGCAGTCCGTACTTCGATTTGGAAATTCAGTTTCTTCGTAATGATGTATGTGATCCAATTCAGTAGCAGCTCCTGATTTTCTTGCTTAAAAAACTGCAGGAGCCTGAGAAGCATGTCTTTCATCTTGTTACTGACAAACTGAACTTTGGGGCAATGAACATGTGGTTCTTGTTGAATCCACCTGGGGATGCCACAATCCATGTTGAAAATGTGGATGACTTCAAATGGTTGAACTCTTCGTACTGCCCTGTTTTGAAGCAGCTCGAGTCTGCAGCCATGAAAGAGTACTACTTTAAGGCAGATCGTCAAAAAACTCTCTCTGCTGGGTCCTCTAATCTGAAGTACCGAAACCCAAAATATCTGTCCATGCTCAACCATCTAAGATTTTACCTGCCGCAAGTCTATCCTAAGTTGAATAAAATCCTTTTCCTCGATGATGACATTGTGGTCCAGAAGGACTTGACTGGACTGTGGGAGGTTGATCTTAATGGGAATGTAAATGGTGCTGTGGAAACATGTGGGGAGAGTTTCCACCGATTTGACAAGTACCTCAATTTCTCAAACCCAAATATTTCGCAGAATTTTGATCCTAATGCATGTGGTTGGGCTTATGGAATGAATATATTTGATCTGGAGGAATGGAAGAAGAAGGACATTACTGGAATTTACCATAAGTGGCAGAACATGGTGAGTTGGAAATAACTCGAATGATTTTTAAATTACTTTTACTCAAGTGTTTTCTGCACTGTCATGCATATAGCCTTATATCTTATACATGAAGTAATTACAGTAAATATTTCATTAGCATGATTGTATATGAACCTGCAGTTACTTTTTTTTTATGTCTTGGTGACATGGTGTGTAGACAGCTTCATTTGTAGAAGGTCGCAGTAAGTCACCATTTTCCCAGCTTCTGCAGTGCCTCGTAATAGTTCATTGGTAGCAACTGTAGGATCTGCCACCGTCGTTTTGGATTTCTGAAACTAGAATGGAAACCATATGTTTCTTCCTGAGATGTATAGGTCAAAGCATGAATTACATCTCGCCAAATCCGAGCCTTGACACTGTTTCTTTGTCTTGCTCTTTCCACAGAATGAAAACAGGCTGCTGTGGAAACTGGGGACGCTCCCGCCAGGCCTGATGACTTTCTACAAGCTGACGCACCCCCTGGACAAATCATGGCATGTGCTTGGGCTAGGGTACAACCCGACGGTCGAGCACGCGGAGATCGACACCGCCGCCGTCATCCACTACAACGGGAACATGAAGCCGTGGCTGGAGATTGCGATGACCAAGTACCGGCCTTACTGGACGCAGTACATCAACTACGAGCATTCCTATGTCCGGGGCTGCAAGATCAGTCAATAGGTAGTAGCTAGAGAAGCACTCGCTTCGACAGGACTACGAAAGGAAGTGTTTCCCTGTTGCTAGTACAGTTATAGCGCATGTTCTTCGTTTGTGTTATTAGATTTGGTTTGGCTGGTATCTTTTCTGCTGTATGTAGATTCCTCGCTCAATTTGTTGTGCTGCGTCGACTAGTCCGCTGCGGCATGATGTTAATGTTACTCTCCTGAAAAGAATGGTGAACTTGGTGACACATGTGAGGAATATCAATAGCATTGCCCACAACTGTGCTCACCAGGTTCTCAATTCAAGAATAGAACCTGTTTTTAGTTGTACAAATTCAGCTCATTCCCCTTGTCCTTCTATGCTTTCTCTTCAAGACTTTCAGGTTGAAGGATTTGTAATACACGCTGTACTTTGCAAATGAGTTGAATGAAATTTGGCGCCTGAATGCGCCTTCCTTGTGTTCAAAAAAAAAAAAAAAACTTGGTGACACATGTGAATTTATCGATGCAATGTTTCTGAATGTGGCGGTAATGATGCCATCCACTGACACATTGTGCCTAGAGCTCCTCGAACATCATTTCTTCATGCAATTTTGCACGCTCCTGACGCACCCAAGATGTCCAAAAAATTCAAAATGTTCTGAACTTTTTTTTTTTGCTTTTTTTTTCAATTTAGAATGCCGCTCGCTCCTCGGTAATCCACAAAACGCCGCCAGCTTATCAAGTGGTAGTTTTTCAAAAAACAATTGTCGAGGTTGAGATTTTAGCCATGAAATCTTGCTGGAATTATTACACATTCCACAGCACAGCAACCAACAGGCAGACCAATGAATACCGTCGCACCCCTTACATCCCACGTTCATGAAACTTCAGTTCAAACTGATACTATGCTAACAAGCAGAATTTAGGTAAACAATTGCAAGCATACCAGTTCAACAGTAAAATACAGTGAACGCAACAAAAAGAACACATACAGCCTTCTCATTGCAAATTTATTCATTTCTTTCATCAGTATGCGAGACATTATTCTGAGGTATACGAGCAGCGCGAAAGCGCATCACACCACCCTGTATATAAACCCTGAATTCAAGAAACATGCATGTATCCCAGCGGTAAGCACCGCTGAGATCCGACACCAAACGTATAGGTGCCTCAAAGGAGACCATGCGATGTTTTTGGAGCAAAACTTACTTTACTTTACATGATAGACACCAAATGGTGACATCTTCTTGAGCCCTTGCGTGGCGAAGCACTGCCGCGTGCTCCTCCAGGCAAGCGCGTGTGTATGCTTCTCCCCGAGCACGGAGAACCCGTGGCACCAAGGTGCGGTTTTATCCAGCCCCACTCAGCTTTCTGAACTTGAGAGGGAGCACACTGTTTGAGTCAGCGTTCCTCTTCTTCACAAAATTACCAGGCTCAACAGCAACCTGAGAGATCGACGAAGTCGTGGTGCTTCTCTGGAACCTCCCCATGTTCCAATAGGAGAAAGGCTTGTCGTGTTCGCTGCTGGAACTAGGGGTGCGCCTTGCAAAATTTTGTGGGATCATGCTGTGTTGTCTAACATGGAGATCCTGCAAGAAATGAAGGGTCAGTTTCTCAGCAACAGATGTCTATACCACATCAAGAGACAGTGAATTCAGTCCAGGGTCTTTATCAGCTAGCTATCATTCCTTGGCGGTACAGTTGCTGGAACCCACAGTTCTTGTTTGTGATAAATCCTCTCCTACTCTTTATGTAATTAACGATGAAACAATGTGATCCAGAAGCAGAGCAGAGTTGGTAAGTGGTAACCAGATCTCGCAAGCAAATATTGTCATTCCTCCAGCTAGGAATAATAATGAACAGGAATGCAGCTAACAAGGATGATTCGTGGTTTAATATATGGACCATCAACAAAGTGGAAAATTTCTGTAGTGTTGCTAGCGAAATTTTGTGCACCATCACACGAAAAGCCTCTCAAAGATACAGCTTAGCAGTTGTGCACTAGTTAGGAATATGCAAGATTGCGACTAAGAATTGGGAGGGGCCAGGGACTGATAAGCTAGGTAATTCAAGTTTACTAGAAGTGTTTCCATGACAAAAGAATCGTTACAAAATCCAGAACCAAAATATCTTTTGGTGCATGCCAAAGCTGGAAGTATGGAACTATTATTTTATCTGTATATTGACACTCTCATGTACCACATGAACCACTTAACATAATCTCACTAGTTATTCATTGACCTCACTCATCCAAGATCACGTGTGACTCTTCATCCCTTCCTACGAACTCAGGAATCAAGGTCATATAGGTTGTAGAATACTCCGGCTTTTTCCTGGTCTCTGGAATGAATTTGATGCATATACTAACCATATCTGCACTTATCTACAAACCGCTCATGATTTCTACACGCACACAACAACGCGAGTGTGGCCTGTAACACATGCCTACAATTGGTGTAGACTAGAGATGAATCCACGACCCTCAATAAATTCATTCTGAAACACACTGTACTGTGTACATGTGAGCACCAGGACTTTTGAACATTTTTTAACCCTGGTGGGTGGAGTTTACCCCGCAACACCACCACCCCGAACTCTGACCGAAGTATGATTTTAACCCCCCAAACTGTGGAATTGTTTGATTCAGTACCTCTCCAACCAGTAGAAGTTCAAAATAATATATTAACTTTCCCTATTAGGAATCATTATCTGCTGTTATGAGAATCTCTCCATAACCAGCAGAACAGCCAAACCCCGTTACCCATAAATATAATAACATATCAATTTCCCCTAATTGTTTGTTGCAATTTAAAAAAAAAGAGTTGTTACAACTTCTAAAAATATATATGTTGTTTCAAGACTGCATCTAAAAGCAGCAGAACAACCAACCCCTGTTACCCATAAATATCCATGTCCTCATGTAATGAAGGAAATACATCTAAAAAATCTTACATGAGAAGTTCTTATGGGAACCATGTCCACATCATGGTTAGGATAAGCTGAACCTACACAAAGAGAAATTTCATCATCACAGTTCAATTAAGACCCAGGGGGAAACCAACGGTATGTCTGGCAACCCCGCAGAACTATTACTTCTACTAAAAGGAAAGAGAAGAATTGGATACATGTAACACACACAATAGTCACACCATATTGCCGGAACAAATGGCCATTGTAATGTAAGAACACTCACTTGGTAGAACTTTCAAGCATCAATTAATTTTTTAATCCAGATTTTTCATACATTTTCGAAGCTCCGGCGTCATGGGCGATAAGGTAGTTGGGAAGTAGTACTAGGTTGTGAAGAGAAAATGGCAAGGTGTATCGATTAAACAGATGAATGAAACTATGCTAAAAAAATGGTGTACAGGTAGAGGTAGCCAAGGGCTCATGGCAGTGATGGCACCACTCTAAACTCTGAACTCTTGAAAATTTTGAGCTGAGACGGTTAAAAGCAAAACCGTAGCAATTTCTGACGTTAACGCGCAGCGGAAATCAGGTGTATGATGGATACCTGCAGCTGCCGTCGGTAACCAAGATGCGTGAGGGTTGACACCAAGCACCGTCGGCGACGGCGACACGGGGAACCCGCTGCCGAACCCGATGGTGGGCCTGACGGGCGGGAACTCCCCGACACCCGCGAGCGCCGGGAGCGGCTGAGGCGGGGAGCGGAAGAACGGCGACATCATCGGCGGGGCGCCCCCACCGCCACATGGGGCAGGGGCGCCGACCGGCGGGCGCGGGCTCCAGCGGAAGGGGCCGAACCCGGCGCTGCGGGCGGAGACGGCGTCGTGGTCGTGGGACGGCGGGGGCGCGAGGCTGGCGCGCGGCGGCGGCGGGCTCGGGGCGAGGTGGAGGCGGCGGATCCAGGCGGAGGCGAGCGGGTCGGGGTCGCCGTGCGGCGCGGCATGCTGCTGCTGGCAGTCGGGCGGCGCGACGTGCTGCTGCTGGTAGTCGGGCGGCGCGACATGCTGCTGCTGCTGCTGCTGGTGGTGGTGGTGGTGGTAGGGCGGCGCGGGGCCGCGGCTCCCGGCGGAGGCCCGGGGCGGGAAGTGCTCCCACATGGCAGCCGCCGCGTCGGCGCGGAAAGGGACGCGGGGGAGAAGGATGAGCGGAGGCCGAGGTGCGGTAGCTTTCCTTCCCTTTGGCGAGCGAGGCGAGGCGAGGAGACGGAGAGGTGAGAGCGAAAGCGCGCGCGTGGGGGGGCATGGGGAGCCATGGGGGCGCGTGACGAGTGACGACGGCGACCGCGGCGACGCACCTCCTCCACACGATCCTGCCGCCACTCAATAATGGCGTCACCTTTTTACCCAGAGTTGAGAACGGTCCAGAGTAGACGGTGTGTGTGCGCGTGTTCTCGTAAATCTTTGCAAGTGGTGTCTTGTCGCGGTTATACTACTGTACGTGCTTTTGTCCCCATTTCATATGGATTTTAGAGCCCTGTGAATTTTCTTTCTACGAGGACATGACCAATGCATAGCCCTAGGGTGATACTCCCTCCATTTCACAATGTAGTGCTTCCTCTATCCACGTGCTTCAACTTTGACCGTAAATTTAACTATCAAGACCGATTGCGGCGGGAGCAAAAATTATATCAGCGAATTCGTATTCGAAAGAAGTTTTCAATTATATAATTTTTTCTTCCGCCGCAATTGGTCTCGTTAGTTAAATTTATGGTCAAAGTTGGACCTCGGGAAGCGTGGGCGCACTATATTTTGGAATGGAGGGAGTACCTCGTAGGCCATGTAAGATCGAATGTCATGAAAAGTAGGTTCGGATGGAGCAGTGGGATCCTCTGCAAGAGGCGGGTGCTTGGAAAAAAAGTGTGGTCCGATGCATAAAGGTGAAAAGGTTGAAGCGGAGAGTAGAGGTGCATGTGTACTGAGAGTCTTTATTTTTTATTCTTTAATGCGACCCACTAGTGATAGCTTGCATTGAGAATAAAAAAATCAATATAGATGTCTTAAACTACTTTTTGTTATGGGGTTTTTGTATCCATATGTCATCATTGTATATGCCGTGATGGAAGACTTTAGATCATATAATTATGGTCACAAAATCCTTATGGAATTCATTCGTATGCTTCTCATTTCATAGGAATCTCACTATGGAACTATTGGGCGGACGACGAGCGCCAGCGAAACTATGCACGATGCAGGATTGAACGGTCCTGTCAACTTTTACCTGACGCATAGACGGCTTGATGTGTACCATCGTCTGCAAATCGTCCAACACAAGTCGTGTGTGTAGCAGCCATCTCAATATGATCTCAAACCTCTTTTTTATTTTGTTTTGTTGGGAAGTTCAATGCGCTTACATTATGATCTACCTCTGTCACCACTTTTCGATTCTCTAGAATTTATGTTTGTTTTCATGTGCACAATCCAAAGGCACCTATTGCGGAGTTTATGTGTTTCGCAATCATGTAAGCTTTTGTGGCGCGTGACATCAAAAATTTGTGTTTTCCTTATTCGATGTGTTTTCGATTTCCTTCCATCCAAAAGGATCCTAACACTCATGCACGACGTATACAAGAGCACATGCCTCTGTAAACTACACAAAGGAGTTGAAGGACCTGTGAAAAAACATAAACATCCACTCCGAGCTTTGTGCTTACCAAGGTCGTCGATCGTTCTCAAGCCCTGTTATAGTTGAAGAAGCCGTTGGAGAAGAACAACGCAATTGACCATGATATATTGATATTAGAAACAAGAAAGACACGGTCGTCCATAACCTTTACGAGCAGTAGTAGCAACTTGCATGTCAAGATGAGAACGAAGTCATCGTTGAAAGACACACGAACACGACCATGTCCCATGCTTCTCTATGAGGCGACCATTTGATGTCATCCAGAAGACACCCAAAATTACTTGCCGCGCACTAGTATACACCACACCCCGACCTTCTCAAACTCATGGAAAGGAACGCCACCACTGCCGCACGGTGTTGAAACCTCGAGACGGGCAGATCTGGTGTAGGACCGATTGACTAAACCCATTCAGACGTTCCTTGTCGATATTGGAGTGAGCATAGTCAAGGCGGGGGGGGGGGGCAACATGGATGACTTATCTGACACGAGAATACCACGGCTGCCTCACGTCCCCGTGAATACAATATATAGCCTAAAAATGTAAAGTACCTCTCCTCACTCGCCAAAAGTGGACTCGCGATCCGCTACATCTTGAAAGGCCACGAGAGCCTCTAGAGCTAGGTGTAAGTGCATCTAGTGCCACCTCTAGTTGGTTTTGGAGTATTGACGACAAATCTGGTTAAGGGACTAATGTGTTTGTGAGAATTGCAGAATAACATAGGTAGAAGTCCCTCATTAATTTGGTTTTCCTACCAGAGATGACCCCTAAAAATGTATGAAGACATTGAAGTCAAAGGTGGTATGTGAAGACAGTCACATTGAAGACTATGACAAGAGAAGACATCGAGTGAAGACTATGGAGTGCAAAGACTTAGTTGTTTCGTCGTTCTTTTTCTTCTTTGTTGAGTCATAGGAACCACCGTACTGTTAAGTGGGGTCCAAGTGAACCAGTCAGAATGAATGAAGTGATGCTTAACCAAAAATCCTATGTCTTCGAGCGAAGACAATGAGAGCAAATCTTATCCAGAGCTGGATAAGTCAGCTTTGCTTGTAGCCCAAGTGAAGTTGCCGTGTGTGTGTGTTTGAAATCTGACCGTTGGAACACGTGTCAGTTCCTTAGTGACCAAGGGTCATTTCGGACAAATCAGGTTGGGTTGCCTAGTGGCTATAAATGGTTGGCTGCTCAGAGTTAGTGTACGGCTTTTGTCGTTTGAGAGAAACCCACCTCGAAGCCTTTGAGAGAGAATTCCTTGCGAGCATAAAGCCCTAAACACCCAGAGCCAAAGAGTGTTAGGCATCACTTAAGTCTTCCCGTCTATGTGATCTGAAGACTTATTACACTTGAGGACTGTGAATCCTCCAGCCGGTTAGGCGTCGCGTTCTGAGCATCCAAGAGTCATTGTGGATCACCGGTGAATGAAGTCTATAAAGGTTTGGACGTCTACCTTGAAGACTTACCAGAGTGATTGGGCGAGTACTGTGTGTCCTTAGCTCAAGGGGAATAAGGTGAAGACACGGTCTTCTGAGTTGAATCTCAGCCTCCCTAACCAGACGTACAGTTTTCACAGCAACTGGAACTGGTCCAATAAATCATTGTCTTCAACGAGTCACTGGTTTCATCCTTCCCATTCCTTTACTTACTGTTGACTCTAGTGAAGTCATTGTATGATTGCATTATCTTTTGTCTTCACTGAGTGACCGCTTGTTCTGATTGGCTTCACAATATCTTCCTGCCTGATCTATACTGCCTAGCTGCTATTAGTCGTTGTGCTTTCACTTCATTGAATACTTGACTATGGCTTCCTTAGTGTAGTCTACCTTCCGCTGCATAATAATAGGTTTATTTCTATCGTTTGTCTTTGAAACTTCCATGTTTTGAAGACTTTCATAAAAATCGCCTATTCACCCCCCCTCTAGTCGATCACTAGCTGTGACACCCAAAAATTTTGGCCTTGTTTTAATGAATTAAAAGTTTGCCAGGATTTAAAACTTTGGATTTCTGAGCTCCATTTTGATTTTTTATCATTTCCTTCCCTGTTATGATGAGTTTTTCCCAAAGAGAAAACTTTTCAAATATGTTATTGGACTTGTTTAACCTCTCAAGAAAAACTTTCCTTTTATCAGTATAACTAATTAAATAATTAAGTTGCTTGATCTTTATTTTCTTGAAAATGGACTTTCAAGGTTAAATGGCCATATTTGAACTACATCCATTTGATAGATTCACTTAAAATTCCCACAAAAATTTGGATATGTCATGTGATGTCTCTAAATCACTTTTGTGCAATAATATATTTAATTCATTGCATAATTTGAGCTCTGCATCAATTTTCCCTTCTCTGTTCCAGAGTGCAATTTGCACTACAACCCTTTTAAATAATTCTTTCTAGCCTCCACCAAAATTATGGGATGATGGTAATGGCCTAAGATTCCACTTTGTGCAAAAACCTAGTGCTGTTCTTTGAAAAATTTGAGTGAATCAACCTCATCTTCAGTCTGGACCAACTTGATGGTTTGTACAGCAACCATGTTTTTACTTGCTCTTTAACCCTTGATTATTTCTCCTACTTGTAGTCCCCCATGTTAAACCCTTAAGTCCAGGAGCATGCACCTTTTGGATCATTTTTGGTTCATGAAATAATGCCATTTGCTTTCTGTCCAGAATTGAAGTTTTGTAAAACTTGCACAAACAAGTTTCCCCTTTTGTCCAAATAACCACACCACTCCCTCTTGCATCCAAAGAGACTTCAATCTGGAAGATTTGGCCCCTCCAAGACCTGCCTAGATGTCTCTGGCATTTTGTCAAACACTCTGTGGGCATGAACAGTTTTGGCATGATTATAGGTTTGTGTGATGAACTTGTCCATCTGTCCAAACCATGTTGTCTTGTAGCCTACTAATGGTCTCCAACCCAAACCTGTGGATTTGCACTTGATCCCTAGCAGTTTTGGCCACCCTAGCATTTCATCAAACACCTTCTGTGCGTGCACTGGACGCGCCCAGAGCGCGCCAATTGCAGCCACGCGCCCGGGCCGACACGCTGGCCCCCTGGCTTTGGCCCACACGGCAGCATCACGCCACGCGCTCCCCTTCTCACAGCTACGCGCCAAGCCGCCCCTCGCCGCGCCCGGCAGGCCAAGCGCTAGCCGCTGCCGCCCGACAGCCTCTGCCCATGTCGGCGCCGCCAAACCTTCCTCCGCTCGCCACCTGGCCCCTGGAACAGCGCGTACTCATCCGCAGCCATGTCCTCTAGCGCTCGTCGCCACCACGATGCCCTGCTGCTACAGAATGTCGGTTCGCCGGAGAGCTTATCCACGGCCGCCGCGGAACCGCCTTGCCACGCTATAAAAAGGGACCCCAAGCTTCCCCGAGCACGCAGGCAACCTCAGGCCACCCCTATGGCACTCCCCTAGCTCGCATTCGACCCGGGGAGGCCTCCTTCCTCATCTCCGGCAACTCCTACCGCCGCCACCG